CCTGAGTTTGCAAAAGATATTTCAATGTGCTGCAAACATACAGAGATATTGCTGACTTCTCTGGTAAAGAATACCTCTTCGATTCAGAATTTAGAAGCCTCACACACTTCTGCAGTAGACAAACAATTAGGGGGCTGAAACCAATTGATACACCTGCAACCAACACAGAGAAGATAGACCAGTCAATAAATTCCTCTGCGTTTATCACAAGTCCATAGGACAAGTAACCAGGTTTAAACTTGCATGAGATTAAATGAATCGTGTTCGATAATTAATAAGTTATCTTCAATTCATAGAATTAATTTTAAAGACATAGATTATCATGCTTGTGCAGCCTAAAATAGTTCATATTATACATCCTAGAAGCCAAGCCCGAGTAAAAAGAGTAAATCGCATAAAACCTATACCAAACCACTAATTTTTTTATGTCAATAATACCTATACCTTTTGAATAGGACAAGCTAATTCTGATAATATCCCAGTGCTTGAATAAATTATTTCCAACAGTTGAAACTGCATCACATAAAAAGGAGATGACAACTGATGACATGCTCTGTACAGCCACCTGAACCATATGAGGTCGTTTATTCTCTCCAAAACCTGGTAGAAACAGGAACCATGTACCAATTTCACTTGGATTCTTTTCAAATGCACCAGTGCTACTCATAGCCACCAGTGCTAAATTGTACGCTAGTTCCTTCACCTCGTTGTGTGGTGAAAAAAGTAACAAATTCACAAATACATCCAAATGTTTGTACATAAGTGGTGGCATTCTTGTAGGAACTATCTCACTTTGGGACTCTGGCGTCCAACTGATGTACTCACTTAGAAAAGACAGTAGAGCTCTCTGCAATTCAGCTGGCAAACTTGAACTCAGAAATTTCATGAAGACATCAAACGATCCTTCAAGCGCATTAGGCACAGAACGCTGCAAAGATGAAAAACATGTAGCTTAATACCAGAACTCATCTAGTATAGAATACAGATGAGGAATGTCTAAGTGATAAAACTGACAAAAGAAACGAGAAATTAAATCAGATCTGAGTCAACAAAGCAAGACCAATTCCTGTTCTCTAGTTGTAAGCCTGTAACTGGAAAAACCACTACAGCTCAAAAAATCAAACTTCAATCGGTATACTACACTTGCAAGAACTTCCAAACTAAAACTTGACATAGAGGATAGAGGACAGAGCAAAACAATAAGACAGCCTTCTATTATATAAATACCATTAAGCAAGAGTAAACAAATTTTGTAAAAAAGTGTGAAAAATAAACATACCACATAAATCTTAAGAGCATCCAGAAGCTTTATGTGAAAGCACATCTCTGCTTCTTCGACTGAATCAATAGGCTTAGAACAGAGCTCTGAAGCCCAAATTTCTGAAACAATACCAAGATATTCCTTTTCATCTGCCTGATCCGTTAAATGGGCATCCACAGTATCCTCTGTCAAAAAGATATCTTTATCAGAACCTACCCCACCAATGACAATATCACCAGCCTCTTCGTCCAAAACATCCTTCTCAGATCTCTTAAAGCGTTTTTTTCTATCTACTAATCCACTATTCGACACTGCTTTTCTCTTCAAAGACAGCTCTTGAGTTCCACTGGAACCGCCCAGAGACTTCAGTAGAGTCAATAACACCTGGGAATCTGGAAAAAAGCTTCTCACTTCAGTCATGACATCCTGCTCAAGAGAAGCCTGAATTTGCTCAACAGAGCAGATATGAGATGAACGAAGGTTCCAAGCAGTAACAAAAGCATCCAACAGCCTCAGCGTCTCCAAGACAAATCTCAAGGTCCCATGTTTCACAAGAAAATCAGAATGGAGCATCCCTTTAGTGATCAACGACCGGCTAAATGAACGAGGGCATATGCATTTCATGATAGTCTGAACTTCTGAACCACCAGAAGGATGTGTTGCACGTTGTTCTGGATTGAGAAAGTCAAAAGAACATGAAATTCTTACTGACAATACCAAATTTGCTGCCAAGGAAATGGAAGAAAACCTGCAATGACCCAGGTTACTATGCAGAAAGAAAGAATGGAAGAGAACAACAGCAAAAATATGACGGTACAGGCAGCACTCAAAATAAAGATAGAAACACACTGGTACTATGTAGAAGACTAACCAGGATGGGGATGAAAAATCTTCCACATTGTATGGAAATTCTTCCAAGAAAGCTGAAGCGAAAGATGGTCTACCCCTAACAATGGCTAGAAGCAAATCCCTGTGATAACCAATATCTGTTGCTCTCAACCTCTTCATGAGCACTATTAGTCTGTTTAAATTGCCTTTCAACTTTCTCTTTGCATCTGGCATCAATCCATTACTAGGGTCTGTACAAACTTTAACAAGAACATCATGGGCCAACTCATTCACAATCCCACCATCCTCTCTTGCAGAAATGCTGACTAGCTGCTCTAATGTAGCACTTCCAAAAAGAACACTCCTCAGACCAGGAGAAATCAATGATTCTTCAACAAGAATCTTGTCCTTCAATACAGACAGGACCGAAGCCACGGTGTCTTCGTTGTCATTCGCAAGGCCTCGTAGGACTTTAGAATACATTTCCTTCTGCTGTAAAACAGACCTTAACAATCCAGGCTTCCCAACTTCAAGGAATGATAATGCAAACCCAACAAAAGCCTTCCTCGTCGAGTGTTTCCTAACCTTGTCAGCGCCTCGTGTTTTACAATCGGCCAGTTTCGCGAAACCCTTGAAATCGAATTTCTTAGCTATTTCCGATGCCATGCCTTGACCACGTCTAACAATCGAAGCCAACAATGATAGTGCAGCATTCTGTTGTTTTCCCTCTTTGCTATTCAGTTCTTTGTAAATGTCATCTAGTTTTTCTTCAATAAGTAACCTACCAAACCGATCAATAGCTCTTCCAATATCAGTTGATCTACCTTTACCTTCAGGATGACTCAGAATCGCCTGGATAAGCTTGAATATATACGATAGTCCTTGTTTCCCATGTCGAAGGTTCCATGCCTCTTGAAGCTCAGCAAATTCGGGTGAGTTCTGGAAATATAGGCGCAACAAATCGCCGCCGGTTTCTCCCTTGAGAAGCTTGACAAATTCTTTAGCAGCATCAGAGCATAGCTTAATCTCTTGTAAGCAAATCTTATGCAACAATTCCCTAAGTTTAGCTTCATGGGATACTCTCAAAGCCATCACTGGGAATTCCTCCGCCTCAAATGACTCAAAGAAATTAGCAGTGAGAGCGCTCTCGCAGGGTTTAGGGTTTAACGAGAAACGATTACGGCGATGTTTTGTTAAGAGCTGAAACTTGGAAATTAGACATCTCAGTCCCAAACCCGGTAGGTACGAATGTTTATTCGGTTTAATTCAGCAAGATTTTTTCTAACCCGAATAAACCGGGGACCCAGGTCTAATTTAGTTACTGGGACTCAAAATCTTACCGGTTTGACACTAAACCGGGATGGTTAAAATGGGCCGAACATTTTGTATTGGGCCACGTGAGGTTTTTGTTGTATAAAAGGTAACCGACACAGGTTTGAGGAAGCCTCTTTTGCCTTTTGTCCGAGATAACACAAGACTTGAGATTTGCATCATCGACCTCGTCTCCTTTTTTTAGGTCATCGTCGTGATGATGCAGCAGCCACCTCCAGCCACAAACGGTGCTGAGGCAGGCTCAGGCCAGATTCCATCGGAGCAACAGGCCTACCACCAGCAACAGGCTTACATGATGATG